AGAGAGAGAGAGACAGAGACAGACAGACAGTCAGAGAGATGGTAAAAGAGAGCAGACCGAGACAGACAGAGGTGTTGAAGAACTTCTTAGAATTATTAATAAAATATATGATTTATTTAAGCACTCTGTTTTCGTGAGTGTATCTTCTATAGTAAACTCTAAGAAAATTAGGTTACTATATATTCAAAGACAAGGGCCATTTTTGTACGAACATTTTAGTTCCATAGGCATACGTTTTCTGTGTTTGTTTATCAAATTCTTTTTCTATTCACCACCCCTCCCCCCAAATTTATAATAATAGTAATATACTGGAGATAAAAACAAAACAAAACAACAACTACAACTACTCGATTTGTTCGATCGGTTTGCCTTTCCTGTAGAAAAATAATAATTCTTTCAAGCATGGAATTGAAACATAAAGTATTCCTCAGATAAATAAAGGTGAAAGAATTATTTTTTTAAAGCAAAAACGTCTCTTTTATGATTCAAATTTGACGATGGGGGTAACATCTAAAAGTCACACATCAGTACGCCGTGGGATATCCGTGTGCATTCAACACATCATTGCATCTCCTGGGTATAGAGTACACATGTCTTCTTGAAAAATGTTGTTTCAGACATTGGCGAGGGCTTGCTTCAGCTGTCAAATGGTTTTGGGACCGGGATTCAAGTCAAGAGCAACACGGTTAATCCTTTCTCCAAAAGTGCTCAATTGGGTTAAAGCCTGGTGAAATGGCTGGAGCGAATCTGTGGCGGTCAGAGCTCACGGGATGTCCCTCCTACAGGCCACTCGCCCAGTTGCAGACAGACGCCTGTGTCTCCCCGCGACACCCACAGGTACAATAGGAAGAAAAAAGTAAAGTAAGAAATTGCAGGTCGTAGATTTGTTGCAGCGACCTTGTTCTGGATTAATTTAAAGAAATTAATTCTGTTTGGAGTGCTCGATGTTACGGGCTGATTATGTTGTTGAAAAAAAAAAGAAGCAGAATACGCTTATGTTGTCGCCTGTACACTTTTGAACTCCCATCATGACGTTCAAATTGGATTTGAGAATCGTCCGGGAAGGTGACTTGTGTCTCACAACTCTCTATTCATCGGCGGTGTAGCTGTGACCAGTTCATCCAAGCTTGACGGTGACTTGGTTGTGCCTGCAGCCTGTTTGGCATCCTTGCTTCAATCTTGAATTCCTACAGTCTGCGACGAAGCAGTGTGCCGGCTGACGAGTTAAAGTCCAGAAAATTGTCTTTCGGTTTGAACAATAAGAAACCATTTCTCAGGTTCACTGTCCTGATATATCGATCTTAAAATGGCTTAAAATGGGCGGGCCAGTTCTGGGTTGGTTTTGAATAGGCCAAGTCACAACGTACCATTGTCTCAATTGGCTGATAGTCATTCTGCTGACGTTTAACGTCTTCACTACAGCAGCGCGCTGAGCATACCGATGACTTGATTTTTCTGATCTTCAGTTAAAATTACCATCTCTTTTGGGTGACAATGATCAAATGTTAATGCGGTTTTAAGTAAACACAAACCTAAGCTTCATAAAAATCAAAAGAATAGAAACCCCCTCCCCCTTTCCCCCGTGGTCGGGGACAAGATCCGATTTCTTTTTTTTTTTTCAAAATGGGGCTGGAACACTAATTGAAGGTCCAAAATGTTATCTTTATAACACTATCTACTTTTCAAAGTCTTTCTTTTGATCGCCAGTATAGATATACGTGTACTTACTCCTACACCATCCCTGTTGTAGTAAGCATTGTCAGGTCCATATCCTCTTGGTCTTTGCGACATGATCTTTTGCGTGAAGTCTTGAAAGAAAGCAACAATAGCATGTTATCTATCTATCTATCTATCTATCTATCTATCTATCTATCTATCTATCTATCTATCTATCTATCTATCTATCTATCTATCTATCTATCTATCTATCTATCTATCTATCTATCCATCTATCCATCTATCCATTCATCCATCCGTCTGTCTATCTGTCTGTCTGTCTGTCTGTCTGTCTGTCTGTCTGTCTGTCTGTCTGTCTGTCTGTCTGTCTGTCTGTCTGTCTGTCTGTCTGTCTGTCTGTCTGTCTGTCTGCCTGTCTGTCTGTCTGTCTGTCTATACATAGTGTAATTCTTTTGTAAGTTTTTTTTCTCTTCGTATCAACAACATTTAAATTTTGTTTTGTTTTTCAATGTCACCTTCTCTTTGCATTCCTTCTTTCTTTCCTTCTTCCTTTCTTTTTTCGTTCTCTCTTTCGTCTCTTTTTTTTTATCAGCTTTTCGTTATCTTTCCTTTGACCTTAATGTCTTATTAAATTTTTACTCAAGAAAAACTCTACAGTGAAAAATAATTTATAAGTAAAGAATTATTGAAACGTATTTACTCATTTGCCACAAATATAAACAAATAACGGCTTGCAATTACCCGGCACGGTAACTCTCTCTCTCTCTCTCTCTCTCTCTCTCTCTCTCTTCTCCCTCTCATATACGCGCCCACACACACACACACACACACACACACACACACATTATATATATATATCGAAAAATACAGTGGCGTCCCCAAAAAACTTGAAAATGTGTTCTCAATATCGTCGTGTTAAAACCTTGTACTACGTAGCCTATTCATGCAGCATACCAATTTAAAGCTGAATAAAGTCTGCGTCTCCTGACACATTAATAATAATGTATTCTAGGAAACGATTCGCCCAGGATGAGGTCACTCAAAATTAAGCTTAAAAAATCAGACTCGTCAAATAAGTGCGAAATCATAGATAATAAAAAGTGCATTCGTGAGTTTATAGAGGTGCATCAACATTGGTGGAATGGGTTTGTTTTGAATATCAAATGAATGGAGGATACTATTGCCTGTGCAGTGAAAAATATCTTGTTACAATAATTTCAATAAGATTGGAAAACAGAGTAGTAACAAATACCTTGCAAAACCTGGACTCAGTATTTAATGTGCTCATTAGTATTCTGCTAAGGAGCCGTTGTTTTAGTATAAAGCACGAAACCTTTATGTACAAGAGCTATGTTAGATTTGGACATAATCATCTGTCAGTGAGGAACGGAGTTCACGAAACAGTTATAGTTTGGGTTGGTCTGGCTGGAATGAACAAAACCCCACTTATGAGAATCAACGGATGGCTTCATATAAGAAAAAATTTAAGTGCTGGAACTTCCCGTTTTACCCTTATTTTCGTCATGATGTCATTCAAGTAGAGATATATTTGTGCATGACAAAACACGTTCTCACACTGCCAGCAACACTAGATCTAGATCTAGACAATTCTTGGAAAATCAAATCATACTAACGATAGAATGGTCACCAGTAAGTAGGCCCGATCTGAATCCGACGGACATGTGGAGCCCCATGAAAGTACAGCTGAAGGAACACGACTTAGCTATTAATTCAAACACTTCGTTTGCTGCTCTCTGTGGCTTCTGGGATGATCTGACAAACAATTATGGCCAACATTTAACA